AGGAGGAAATGTTTGTTATCTAATTGCGGTGATGGTTTCAAAGTGTACATAGATGTCAAAACTCACCAAATTTCACTGTTTAAATACACACCATCTATTGCACTTCAATTATACCTCAATAAAGTTGTAAAAAATAAAAAACAAACAGTTATTGGATTTTTTTAATTACAAAAGATAGACACTTTCGTTATGGAGAATTAAGAAAAGGATAATGATGAAGAAAATAAATGTGACCCACTGCTGGGAGGCAGCTGTGGAGCCCCTGGTGACGCGCCCTCCACCTGCTGCAGCTGGGGCAGCCTCGGGGCCATCCAGCCTCCAGCTTCTGTGGCCAAACTCTGGGGCCCAGCTGATGCCAGACCCAGCCAGTGGGCACAGCAGTGTCAGCTCAGGGCTCTGCCCTCCTCACTAAGTCCCCTCAGACTCCTGGGTCCCTGTCACCTCCCTGGCCAGTCCCTTCTCAGTCTCTCTGCCTCTACCTCCCTTCTAGCCCAGCCTCTGTCCTTTCCCCACCAGCCTCCTGCAGGCAGCAGGAGACTCTCCCGCCCTGTGGCTACAAACACCAGCTATTCACTGGTGACACTCCAGTTTCTCTGTGGTCTTGATTGTTCCTCGGTGCAGCAGACTCACCCGCTGTCCACCTGACCCCTCCTTGGGGATGAGCCATGGGCACCTGAAGCCTCATGTGGGCACTCCTGCTTGTCCATGGCAGTCAGCAACCCACAGTTGGCCCCATAGCTGCCCCTTCCTCATTCCCTACCCTCTCTCCATCTGCAAGCCCCCCAAGCTCTACTTCCAGAATGGTCCTGGAATCCAATCCCTTCTCTCAGCCTCCTTGCTTCTACCCTACTCTGGGTCACCAACACCCGCTGCCTGGACAGCTGCCACAGCCCCCACATGCTCCCCTGTTCCTGCCTCTCACCCCCTACAGATCCCAGCGAGGTACCCACTGCCTCCTGCACTGCCCAATACAGCAGCCACCATGGCTATGTAAATTTAAATTCATTAAAATTAAATTAAACTAAAAATTCACTTCTTCAGTTGCCCCAGCCACATTTTAGGTGCTTGGTAATCCCATGGGGCAGCTCGTGGCCACTGTATTGGTCAGTGCAGACTATAGAACATGCCCACGATACTGGAAAGTTCTATCTGACAGCATAGACTTTGGCTTTTCCATGCATTTAGAATAAAACCCAAGCTTCTTATAGGCCTACAGGGCCCTGCCTTACCTCTGATCTCACTTCCTACCACCCACACTGTTCCTCAAACACACCTACAACTTTGAAGTCTCCTGGTCCTTTGTCTACCTGTTCCTTGTCCTCAGGACCAGCTCAGGTATCACCCCAGCCGCCACCCCCCACATGGCACACGCACCTCTGCCGTGGCCTGGTTCTGACTGCCTTATCATTTTCTCCCCCACACGTGTCTCTCTCCCCGGGCTGCGCACTCTCTGCGCCACACACGCCTGGCTCCTCGTTCCACCAGTGCTGGCTGAGCACCTTGCAGCACCTGGGGACATTAAGGAACCAGACAAACAGGTCTGTGTCCTTGCATAGGTTAGATCTAGCTGGGACAGACACCACACAGGGGATTACAGAGTGTGATGTGTGTCTGGACCCTGTGTCCCTCCTGACTCCTCAGGTGCGGGGAGGGGGATGATAAGACAGCTCTGTGGGAGTGGATCAGAGGCCAGCGTGGGAGCACTTTCAGGGGAGTGTCGAGGATGGAGGAGTGTCCTTGGGGCCAGAAGAGGCTGTCTCATGGGAGAAAAAGCCACTATCTAGATGTGTCCTTGTGCCCAACAACAAGCCGTTTGTTATGCCAAGAGAACAGAGCCTGCAAACCCAAACTAAACAGCTTCAGCGTTTCTGAAGAGTTTGCTTACAGATAAAATATTGAAGGCAGGGCTGAGTTGGGCCTGTGAACCAGAGAAAGGGACATCTCACTGATAGATGCAGCACCCCCTCCAAAGTATCTCCTTTTCCAGGCATTTGATGGTATTATGGGCCCTGATGAGTCCCCAGTTCCCCCCTGGAAACTAAGGGGTCCAGTCAGCAAGGGAAAAAAGCAGTTTGTGCTTTTAGGATTCTTTCTGCTGACGGCCAGGGAACGTGATGCTGGAGGCCTCGGCAGGTTGCTGGGACAAGGCAGCTAATATTGACCATGACCCTGTGAGGTCAGGATTCATTATACCCATTTTATTCTTATTTATTTATTTATTTTTGAGACAGGGTCTTGCTCTGTTCTCTAGGCTACAGTGCAGTGGTGTGATCATGGCTCACTGTCGCCTCGAACTCCAGGGCTCAAGGGATCCTCCTGTCTCAGTCTCCCGAGTCACTGGGACTACAGCTGCCACCACACTTGGCTAATTTTTCTATTTTTAGTAGAGATGGGGTCTCACTCTTGCTCAGGCTGGTCTTGAACTCCTAACCTCAAGCAATCCTCCTGCCTTGGCCTCCCAAAGTGCTAGGATTACAGGCTTGAGCAATCATGCCCAGCCTATTATACCCATTTTAAAGAAAAGGCCACTTTAGATGAGAGCTCTGCTCAGAATCATACTGCTGGGAATCCAGCCCCTTTCTGCCCCACCTCCCCAAAGTCAGGGTACCCATCTGCATCTGTTTCCTGTCAGCTATTTACAGCCTACCTGGCAGGGAAGAGATTTGCTGGGCCCAAGACAAGACGGCAGGAGGTTGGAGAGGCCTGCAGAGGGCGGCAGTGAGCTGTGCAGCGCCCACCCTGCTCAGAAGCTGGGCCTCAGGGGTTTTCCGCAGCACCAGCGTGCCCCCAGGGCACAAACATTAACAGGCAATCTTGGAACCAACCCCACATGCCATCTACAGGGTTTTATGTTTGTCCCATCTGGGCGTTTTGCACATGGTACTCTCAACATTTTACAGATGGGGACAAAACTGAGGCTCACAAATTTGAAATTGGTAAATTGTATGATGGTTGAATTGTATCTCAATAAAGTTGTTATATTGTAAAATAAAAACAGGCCAAGCACAGTGTGGCTCACCCTGTAATCCCAGCACTTTAGCAGTCTGAGGCAGGAGGGTTAATTGAGGCCAGGAGTTCAAGACCAGCCCGGGCAACATAGTGAGACCCCCATCATAGGTCGCAGAGCTGGGAATGGGGGAGACCTGAATCCAAGACAGGCTGGCCTGGCCACCAGCCCTGGGATCTGCCCCTTCAGACTGGACATCAGGGAATCTGCTTTGGATGGCATGGGAATTGGGGGGAGGGAATGATAACCCCTTACATCCAAGCAGGGATAACAGCCCTGGGAGGTGGATGTTCTTGTTCTCATGTCAACGCCCAGGAAACCAAGGCAGAGAGGGAGTGGCTATCAGGATTCAAACCCAGTTCTTCTGTTGCCAAATCCTGTTTCCTTTTCCCCTCACCCAGCGGCAGGCTGATTTGGTTATTTTCATTTTTTGCCCATTGGACTCCCTACACAGTGCTCTCTGCTATGTGGCTCAGATCTCTGGGCTTCCCTAGAGAAAGATAAAATATTTTGTTTCACTACCTGCTGTGGGCTGTCCAATCTTCCACCAGGTCCTGTGGGTCATGGTGAAGGCTGGCAACCCCTTTCGAGGGAGACTAATCAGGTAAGTTCTGAGTCAGGTAGTCCCTGGAAAAGCTACACTGGTTTTGGAGCTCAAGAGAGGCCAGGGGATAAACATATGGCTCAGGATGCAGGAAGGGAGGTGTGGGTGTTGAGTGACCTGAGGAGAAATTCCTATTTGTCATCCGGCATGTGGCGTCTCTGTGACAATCCCGCGTGGCAGTTGTTGCTTCATCACCCACCAGGGAACAACATCGCCTGAGGTCCGTTGGCACACGGGCTGCTGGCGTTCGTGACCCAGCCTGGCCCTCTCTGCCGGGTCCTGGCCCGTAGCGTGCCCAGCTCTGACGTGGGGAAATGAGGAGCCAGGTGTTCCTAATGCAGGAGCGCAGAACTGGTCAGGACCTCTGCACTGGGGAGGTCTCTCTGAGCCCGAGGGGCCGGTGTCCTTTTTATGGCGGAATCCCAGGCTGCGAGTTCGACAGTCGGGTTCGCAGCCGTCGGGGCCTCAGTTTCCCCAAGAGCACACGGATGGAGAGAGGGCAGCGGCTTGGTGGGGGAGCGCACTGCTGGGACCCTAGCCCGGCGTCTGCGGCGCGGCCCCTTTAAGAGGCCCTCCCGGCTCCGTCAGTCTCGCCGCGGCCACCGCCCCCCGGCCCTCCCCTTCCTGCGGCGCCGAGTGCGGACCGGGCGGGAGCGCGGCGGGAGTGGGCGGGTGAGCGCAGCGCCGAGAGGCGGCGACCGCAGGGCTGCGGGGCGGCGCGGGAGCGGGACGAGAGGAGCGCGCGGGCCGCGGCCACGGGTCAGCGGCGGCGGTGCGGAGCGGAGCAGCGCCCGCCCCGGCCGCAGAGCCCGCACACAATAGC